AATATACGAACACTTGGATCGATCGGGTACGGTTTTTCTTCCTCTTTCTAAGGAAGAATATATGTAGTACACCTCGCTGGGTTATAGTACTTATCGGATATGAAATAAATTCGCATTGTTCCCCGTTACGCAATTTGTTCCGGTCCGGGTTAACATCCTCTAAATCGTCCTCCATCGAGCAAAATGTTACCAAGGTCCGAGTTAACGAGGAGTTAAATCTTGTCCGCTTTCCTTGAAACGAGATATTCTCGTTCCCTCCTAACAAGCATAGAAGGTCGCAAGGATCGTCATTCGTCATCCTCCTCTTCTTTTCGCGTGACCTTCTAATTTCCTCCTCGTGCAACGGACGATAACTCACCTGCAGTTTAACGCTTCCCTTCTTTTATTAATGACATCATTACTATTTTTAATCGCGTCGTTGTTCAATCATCTTCGGGGCGAATCCCAAGGACCTCTCCGCTTCGCTGCGTCTTCGCGCGAGCATTCTTTTGTTCCGAGTCTAATCTGCGAATAAATTAACCACGATCGAAGATGTTCGAAGCGTGTTAATTAACAGAAGTTAATTAGCTTTGTGACGGAAGTGATAACTGTTCGTATCTCGACAGATGCTAGAATGGTTTCGCCATTAGACGTGGTTGGAAAAAATTCAGTCACTTCTAACGGATAGTGCGCGGTCAAATTGATTGTTACGCGAACGACGTTGGCACGGATGAATTGTACGCGGAGAATACCGTTATCGGGTATTCGAATACGTCAAGGAACAGTAATACCCTTCCCCGATATTCCTCAGTTTGCGGTTTTTCTGCTCGCCGAGCTCCGTTGTCTTCTTTGTTACTCACTGTCAAGGATCTTTCCGACTCGCGTGATGTCTGAAGTGTAACAGTGCTTTGACCATCGGACGTGCGAATTTAATAACTTCCTTGTTCAAGATTACCAGTTTTGCTCGAGATACCCGTTATATGTAAATACTTCGTCCTACCTTCAAAATCGTGTTAATTACATTCTCAACGCGTTGCACTGCCGATTACATTCTCGATAATCTCGTTAGGAATCAGCTCTTTGTTTACCAGGGGATTCATCGCTGTTTTATTAGACTGTGCTTTTATAGTTGATAAAACGACGAGACGAAACTCGTTCGCATGCAAAGGCCGAGCAGAAGAAAAAAGCAACTTTCTTTCGAGGCGCGGTTTCTCTTCGAAGCAAAACCACGACGAGAGGAACAATGACACGGCAATCGTTTTCGTATGAAATCTCTCGAGAGATTCCAGTATCTCTCGATATTCCAGTATCGAATTCGATGGATTTCGGACCGGTTAGATGCTTTCGAGAATATTTTTCAAATTACTCGCATTCATCTTCCTTTCGACGATCCTTCGATCTCGAACCGCATCCATCATTAAGTTAAACGACGCTCTTCCTTATCACGAACATCGACTCATCTCCGTCGAGCGAACCATGTTAACTTTGCGTTTAAGTCGGCAATTAGGATAATGGTGGCAAGTTTTATAGAGCACTTTAATTAATAGGTTGTTTTAATCTTTAAGAGAATAAATTGCGAAATTACGGATCAATTTCTTGATACGATCTTTTACGATCAATCTAAATTTCTTTACGAGTTTAAATCCTTCGAGACTAGAGATAACTTAATCATTTTGTTAGATTACGGATAATATTTGCGCTTAAATTTTCATCGAAGATTGAAATCACAAATTTTGATTTAAGATTGAAAAGATAACCCGTTATTTTTAAGTGACCTTTACGTCGGATAGATTAGCGTTAAATTCGCCAAATATCCGTGCACCTCTAACACGGGTAATAAGACTCTAACTGTACGTTTCGCGAATCCATAATTATCTGGCTCAAGCCTCGGTCAAGTCGACCATAAATAGGAAACGAGAAGGGGTTATAAATGATCCTGGTTAATGACGATTGCAGGATTATTAAGCGGTCAACGCTTCCTTCCTCGAGGTTCCCGTTACGCGTGAATTTATTCCATACTTCGTTCCGACCTTCTTTCCTCTATTTTATCGTTATTGAATCCTACTTACATGTTGCGGTCTTTAACATCGATTGGAAACGGAATCACACGGTTTATGTAGATGAAAAGATTAGGAATATCATTCGATATGAAAATGGTACATCATATTATAGGGGAGAACCTAACCTAACCATGTTATAAGGAGTTTAACCCTTTGCTATGTCAAGTACGTCACACGCAATTCAGATAAATAGATTGAACATATATTTCTATTTATTTATTGCTTACATATCATATATATGTATATATGATTATATGTCACATACACACACATACATATACATATGATTATATGTCACATACGTACACATACATATACATATGATTATATGTAACATACGTGCACATACATATACATATGATTATATGTCACATACGTGCACATACATATACATATGATTATATGTCACATACGTGCACATGCATATACATATGATTATATGTAGCATATATACACATACATATACATATTATATGTCACATACGTACACATACATATACATATGATTATATGTCACATACGTGCACATACATATGATTATATGTAACATATATACACATACATATACATATTATATGTCACATACGTACACATACATATACATATGATTATATGTCACATACGTGCACATACATATACATATGATTATATGTAACATACGTACACGTACATATACATATGATTATATGTCACATACGTACACATTCATATGATTATATGTAACATATATACACATACATATACATATGATTATATGTCACATATACACACACATATATACATATGATTATATGTAGCATATATACACATACATATACATATTATATGTCACATACGTACACATACATATACATATGATTATATGTCACATATACACACACATATGCATATGATTATATGTCACATACACACATATACATATGCATGTATAAATATGCATATATCACGATATACATATACATATGTGTCATTATATGTCACATACTCCACCTGCAATTCCCTAAGAACATCTTTGTTGATCTACTTTCTAAAAGAACAAGTTGGAAGAAGTTAAGGAACAGGTAAAGTCATCCTAATATCGATTTCGTATTTAAAAAGTTTGATCGATTGCAAGGAAACGTTGAATAATTTTTAAGACGATACAAACGAGTCTGGAGGCAAAAAGTCGTTAATGTACTGGACTACCATAGTGTGCAGAGGATGCAGGCTTCCGTAGATGGGACGCAATGAGTCGTAACGATCGCGTGGATCTTTTCAGGCGAAGCGATCGATCACGCGATCGATCCTGCGGAAGATCAATTCTTAAGTGATTCATTGTTTTCCACTCGTGACTCATATCGTACGGCAACGGAACTCCTTGTACCGTTTAAGCAAACGTTTCGAAGATTAGACGTTGTATCTTGATGCAGGATCATTTCGAGCTATGACAGAAATGAATCGCTGTGAGTCGAAAATAAACTGAATGCGAATAGTCATGGTTTAATCGTCGATAGCTATCGATTTCGAATCCTCTAACAGGATCTTATGACGTAAAGTATCGTGTAACGACGCTTTGATTAACAGCGCCAAGTTTCGTATAAATTTCAAAATGGCCGATCGGTACAAAGATGAATCAACCAATAGCTGAATATTATGCAGTGGTAGAAATCTCGATGATCTCACTTTTTAATGAGTTTCTCCATAGAAGTCAAGGTATCCGAGAAATTTTCAGCGAGTTGCTTCTGTATCCTCGATGCTCCCCGACGCGGAAACCGCACTCTCATTTTAGCCTAACCGAAAGTACTTTTCCGAGCGTACCAAATGACAAATTAATAGTCAATTTTTCAGGGCGGAACACGCCTGTCACGATACCTTGTTCGACCATTAAAAAGTAAAAGCCGAGATGCTGGTATCGCAAAAAGTGGTCGTCACTTTAATCAGTTTGACGTAATCGAGGTTATATAAATTCGTTATACCGTAACTATTAATTTTCTTGCGACTTTTCTCGTTGCAAAATTCGGAATATCATAATTTCTCGCAGGGAAGTTCTTCGCGTAACACGTTTCGACGGTGAAATTCCATTCGGTACCTGAACGGTAAAAGGTAAAAGTGTTTGGCCGCCGGTTACAGAAGACTTTCGATTTGCGTCGATGTCGAAGAGGAAGATGAAATCGTGTGTTCGTCTCTGGTTTATAATCGTCATCTCGTTTCGTCCTGTTTGCATCTCGTCTTATCCTCTTTCTCCGCTCCTCTACGCGTCTTTCTCTGATCGCCATACGAGAATCTAGGTCGCACGGCTGCGTTCACCTTCCAGCAAAGCAATGTCTTTCCAAGGAAGGTCGTCGCTCGTCTGGAAAGCCTCTCTTCTTGACCATTCTTTTCCCTTTCTTTCGATTATTTCATTCAGCTTTAAATTCGAGCATCATTTTCGAACCACTTCTATTCACACATTCTATTCTATTCCTACATTCGATAATACGATAATTTATTCGAATACGCTGTTAGAATCAATTTTCTCATAGAATACCTGCAGACTACGTGTAATCGCCCCAAGGGAACAACACTTTCTTTTGTTTGTTTTTCTTAAATTAAAAGTTGAGATGTCTTTCTAATTGGCCACCGGCTCTGGTAATTAATCCCTAGTGTAATTAATTGAACCCGTCTCGATCAATCAACGGACCGCTCCCTGCTAGCAGGCTAATTAGTCGCGTTCATAAGCCTGTTATTGTTCCTGGAATCATTGTCATCGTGGACGAGCGTTCATTGTATGCTTTAGAAAGCGCATCCCATGGAAAGCGTCCACTTTTTTTTTTATCTGATCATCGCCGTTTGAGATCTGACAGGAAGCGTTTTCCATGAAAGAGAAAATTCATTGGGTAAAATCCCTAGACTAGGCGGACGGAGAGAGAAGCGTTCTCGGTTAATTGACCCCGGCTAATTAGTTATCGCAGGCGCTGACAATTAGAAAGCCGTTGTACTCACACGTAGACGGTTGCTGGGGTATTTGGGCTGCGTGTGTGGTGCTGTGCCTCGCTATTGTGATCTGAAACAAAAAAAATGGCACTCGTTAGATTGGCTGTTCGTCCCTAGACCGTGAGAGCAGGGCTCAGAAATTCGAGATTTTCAATAATTTACAAACTTCTCCTACGTTAAATATGAGATGAAGGATGTACGAAAAGTCAACCCTTTGCACTCGAAGCTAATTTGACTGTTTGCAAACAGCAACTTTAATTTTAAATTGTTAAATGAATTCTCTTGAGGTTATTATTTTTTTACTGATAATTTCTGCAATTGTTTGTTTCGTTATACATCACACGTGTCATATTATAGAATCAGTTAAAAAATGCTTATTTCATGTATTAAATAAAATGAGACTCATCTCTCGAGCGCAAAGAGTTAAAATTTGTCGTGGTACAATGTGATTCATTATTCGAGTATTTAGCAACGATATTGTCCGTGGAAAACGTGTCGATTAATTATAATTTTAATGATAATTGAAGACGCCGATCGTGAGCCACACAATGCCAGCTTTTTCTCACCAATTAAATTTGATTAGCTGGATCGAAGGCCCCGTGTGAAAGGGCATAATATCGATAAAATTCAAGCTGGAAGAAACTATAAAAACACGCTGTAAATCCTTCCGAGACGAAATTGCTCAGGCGTAATTACGAAGACCTTTGCAAACGTCTGAAAATGTTTAGCGATCGAAGCAAGGGCACCCGACACCTCTTACTCCCTCGACACACTTTTATTTCCAATCCACGCCGATTTAGGTATCAGAAACGTGCAACTCGCGACGACCGCATTGCAACTTGGGTGAACGTGTAATTGTTGAAGGTGATTTGTTGCACCTTGTTTCTACAGGTAAGAGCATTACGTCTTTCCTTTTTTCTCCGCCAACCAGATCGATCAATTCAGTGATTTCATTCAACGTTCTTTGTTCTAAAAACGGATATTACTGCTCGAATATAATCTCGTTTCGAAAAAGAATATCCTACGAATCGCGTGAATTATGGAAAAGTACATCGAGTCGATCGAAGTATAAAATACAGGGAACAAGTTGGAAAGTGAGAGTTTGCGATACGTTTCTCGCGGAGCCTGAAAACGCAAGTATTAGAGAAATTGTCTAATAAACACGAACGTCAGCGTTGTTAATGCATATATCGGTGTGCGTCGATGAAAGTGGTTTAACGAGTCAGCAGCCATTTCGCATATGCTACACGCAATTCGCTGTAAGCAGAACATAAAGTTCGGAAATATAAATACAGAAACAATGCCTTTATTATATAATCAATAAATTAGTAATAATTAATAGTTAGTAATAAATGTTTCGAGTAAAGCGTCGAGAAGATAAGGTATAAAGAGCGCCAGATAAAAAAGAAGCATGTCAAGGTACAGTTTTTCATCGATCTAATTGTGGATCTCTATCGGAGCCATATACGGATGAATCGCATGCAGAAGCCTCGTTTCACGACGTTCTCCGTTGCACCCGTAATTGCAAGGATGCGGTGCAAATCCAGTTTTGAAAAAATACTGCAATTCCAACTGAAGGACGTACATCGAACTTTGTTAAAATCCATGATTTTTATACCACCACGGTGCAATTTTCTTGAAGAAATTCAGGTCCTCTTTCAGCTTTTATTCGCAGAATCTTGCGGGTCTCAACAGACACAGGATAGCTCAATATTTTTGCGCTTGAAAATCGATAGCGGACCAACGAGTTATCAAGTAGATCAATGGGTAATCGGATCGACATAGTCGCGGATCTGGCGTAGGTTGAGATCTCCTTGAAAACGCCTCCCATCGATGTTGCTATAACGCTTACATTAGTCATTCGCCTCTGAGCGATTATTATATGCGAGTCTACATGACGTCATTCGCTTTCGGCTAGAAAGCGTTTGAAGATACAATCAGATTCTTTCGCTGTTTCAGATATATCGCCACTCGTTGTATGACCAAGTGAACTTGACAACACGGGATCCTTGGGAAGGTAGTCTCTAATTACACCAATTACCGCATCATTTCGTGGAAGGCTTTAATCACGGTGAAACACTGGATTTAAGCACGAACGCAAAAAATGATCGAAAGTCGGAGCGTGGGTGTAGACGGAGATTGTACTCCCCATGAAATTCCTCGATTCAGAACACCTACACTCTCTTTTTTACCTTCGATATTACTACGCTCTCATAGAAACGTAGATGTAAAAATTTCGTTCCGAAATCCATTTGTTAATTCTAAAGCGGTGTCCTTGTAATCGATTCTCACGTTACGTAAAACGATGCTATTCTACAAATCGGTGAAAAAATCATTTACGCAATCGGAGTTCTATACTTGGTCGCGTCACCGACTTTCTCTCCAATCAAACAAACGGGATTTTCTATTAATTGCGAGCGATAATGTCTGCTTTTCCTATTCCCTTAAGGTAAAGAAATCTTTGATCTTCCTTTCGTAAATATATTGTACCTTGATTTCATCGCAAAGATCGTTTTTCCGCGTACTAGAGGAAAGTTCGGACCAAGTTTTCCGCTGTCTGAATACGTGCGAACCATTAGTAAGGGAGCGTTTAGAGTTACTTCCGGTATATCGGTTCTCTTAGTTCACAGAGAAACGTCTGTGAAAACGAGCTCCAGAGATCCTGTGCCGATATTTAAAAGAACACTAGGTAAAAGTGGGCGTGGCTGTTCCGAACGGATTGTCTTTCCTTCTCGTACAGAATGTTCCTGCAAATGTTTGCGGACACGTACACCACGAAATTTCTATTTACCCGAGGCCGATGACATTTTTCTATCGTACTTCGAACTTTCAATATTTGTCCAAGTAATTTAACCACCTGTTCTGCAAATATTCTGGCGAAAAATTTCGCTGTCAAAGCGTGCGAGAATTTGTTTCCCAGATGACGATTTCTACGCGAAACCTGCTCGAAACGCTTTCTGCTCCTGAACCAAGTTTTTTGCATTTTTTACGGAATATTACAGGCTTAAGATCGCTTTGCCTCCATGAGATCGAAAGGTTCGATCCGCATCAAGTTCAGGGAAGAAGGTTTTATTTAACGCGAGCATTTGAAGAAATTCCACGCTTGGTCCTAATTAACGTAAATGCCAGGCTTTAGCGTAATTGTCGAGTATTAAGCATTACACAAACCGAAGATTGCAGCTACTTGAACGGGTTAACGACATCGGATCTTTGTCAAGAGAGCACTGTTTAGTTCTGCAACGTGATATTTACTGCGTGATTATTGTGAGAGAAACAAGTATCTTCTGAAATTATGTAGAGTACCCTGCATTTTAGAGCGGCATGTAAAGGGAATAAGAAAGACCGTAACACTTGTTACGCACGAAAGAAAAACTACTGCCGGAGTATTTTTGTTACTCGGATGATCCCGTTGAAAATGACTATAATCTATTAAAAAACCATCGTACATTGAAGGAGATAGATAATGGGCGGTAAAACTATAAATCAAAAGATTTGTAACATAAAAGTTTCTGCAGTTATCCTAATTTTGTGGAAATTACGAGACACGGTGCGCGATATTAGACCGTTTAAGCAGCTGCTAAGTCATTTAACCTCGGCTGCAAAAATTACAGAGCACAGAAAATATTGCAGCTGCTCGACACAGTTTTCCTGGCAGACGGTTTTACGGGACGTTCAACAAAGGATTACATAATTCCCTGCATTCCTGGCCAACATACTACGCTCGCTAGTTATGCTCGTTTTTCGTACGACACGAGGGAAAGTACGCGTGAATAACGATATCGAAAGCTAAATTAATATAATCGAATTACATTGAAGTTAAAATTGTTGTTAATAAAAAATATTTTGACTTACCAATAGAAACGCCAATGCGACCCCCCGCCAGTCCATGGCTAAAATAAAAGAGAAAGTCTTAATTAATAACTGGGTCGAACTGCCATGAGTACGATCGACCGTGTAAAACGCGTGTTGGGCGCGAAAACACTTGCAACAAACATAGAAAAAATCGCTCGATTGTATCTTTCTTACTTCGATACATCCACTCGATTAATCCCTCCGGTTAAACGTCTCTAACCGGTACATCGGTCTTTAATCACCTTGCACTTTTAAATCGTTCATTAGCGAGATCGGTAAACGTTCAGGTGACGCGACACGATCGAAAGTTTCCATGAGTCATAGCCACAAGAAAGTTCGCTGGATGTTCGGACATCGCGATAAATCGAGGATTCGATGGGAAAAGGGGTGCAAAAGGTTCTCGAGCTGGTTAGTAGAACGAAATCGGACAGCTTGAGAAAGCGACGCGGTGTTTCGCGCAGGCGACCGAACATAACGCAACGTTCACTTTTTCGAGCAAGAGGAGAGGCCGGTGCACGGAACAGGAACGACCTCGAGCACACTGGACCACCATGCTTGACCGTAGTCCGCCATTTTCACTGCACCTCGACCTCTTTTCCTTTTTCGTTTGTTCACGACGTCGCGACGACACGAACCGCGGGATTTTACGAGGCTGGTCGATCGACATCCCGCGAGGTTCTGCCACCTTTTCTCGCGGTGAACAGGAAAGTCAGGAGCGTGCCGTGAACCGCGGAGCCCTCCAGGGACGTACTACGCCTTTCACCTTCTCTTTCCTTCGCAAAAATTCTTCGCTTCGAAAGCAATCGCCGCAGCTTATTTCGCTCCAACTCATAATTTAACCTATGATTGACATTTCTTAGCACAATTGTGTAACGTTGCTGGACAATTAGATAAAAATTGCTTCGAATCGATAACAGCGTATAAATCTGTCTACTAGGGATCACGTAGAAAATTGCGATATCAAAAGCGTGCAGTAAGATACCCACGTCATGACATACCGGGCGTTGAAGTCACCGGCAACTTTTGTCGCGCAAGACAGATATAGCCATCATACGCGTTCGAGTCGTTACGAAATCTCCGGACAGACCAGTATGCGATACAAGCATCTTTCGAACAATTAATTAACAATGCTGCATTGACAGTAAACATTTATAGCTACGACATTCTTCCACCGAGCTGAGTATCGTAACTTCCATCGTCACTTTTATACGACAAAGTATTAAACCCGTTAAAAAGTTATTAGAATTTCGTGTTCAAGTTATTAGAAGTTGTGTATCGTTATTAAAATGGAATCAGTTGATCGCGTGAGCGGGGAGGATCCTTGGCGCCTGCATATTTGGTTACCAGTGCCACCTACGAGGATGAACAAGCGTCACGAGCCTTGTACCCGTTTTCGCGTGGTTCCGTTGCATAACATCGTTTCATTAAACTGACTAGAAGTCTACGTTATACCCATTCAGCCGTTGGTTGTTCGCCCCTCTGTTTTCCGTGCGTGTCTCCGCATGCTCGAGAAAGGAAACGGTTTGTTCCACGCTGCTCGCACAGCTGTCAGACTCTACCAGCTTTTTCGAATGTACACCCTCTCCATCGGTCTGTTGGAACGGTGTCGACTTCGAGGTCGAAATCGCACCATAGTACACGAACGATACGTTTTCAACATGCATATTTCAAAAATCCCAGAATATTGTAGGCTAAGAATAAAAAATTGAACTACGTAGCGACAGGAAGGCTTCAACGATCAACAGAATTTTAAAATAAAATAACGCGATACGAGGAAGGTGTTGAAAACAAAGTTACGTGTTCGATAATTTTAGAATAATAAAAGAAATCGCTGCAGGAAAGTGTCGGAGATAAACAAAATCTTCGAGTCTTAAAAATATTCAAATGAGAGTGAAAATTTTCCTGCGAACACAAGGTGAACGACGTTCGAAGGTTCTGACGAAACACGCGTGTTCGCTTTCGACGACCTTGAAAACGGAGGACCAAAGTGTGTGTAATTTTTCATTCCATCGTTATTTTCCGATTGTTTTAACGGTAAATTCCTCGAAAAACTCGTTTCAGGCGCCTTCTGGCGCCCTTGAACGTCCGCCAACGTGATCTTCGCAGTCTTTCCGTGCAACCACATATTGCGCCATCTTGGTTGTCAACGTGATTAAAAACTCTGAACCCGAAGGCTTCAATGAAAACCATTTATTTTACCTTGATCGACTTCATAAATCGAATGGATGTATCGTTTTAGAATAATTTTAATAATCGTTACAGCTCACCTGTTGGATCACCAGATTATCGATTTAATCCAAACACCGCAAAAATCTTCCTTTGTAACCGAACAATTTGTGCAACGTTCGCGGAACAGAAACAGTCAAACGATCACTAATTTTTTATAATAACCAGACAGGTTCGTAAAGTCGAATCACCAGTTCGATCTACCTCGTGGATCCGGCTCGTTCATCATCAACACTTCCGGTAGCACATTACACCCATCGAATAGCGTCGAAAACGCGTTCTCGCCGGCCATAAGGTCCACCTCGCACACGTCGACATCCCCAAATCTTGGATGATCTCTCCAAAACCGATTCTTCCCAGCTCTCGATCATTTATTACATAGAAAAGAGATTTATCTATCGGTACAGTTGATCATCCTTGCAAATATCTTCGTTTTCGATCGTGAACCATCGGATAAACTTTGATGTTAAAGGTGTCTTGTTAGAGGTGTTTGCTTATCAAACTTCTTGATAGATTTTCTGTTATTTATCATTGATCGTTCGGTCTCAAAGTATGCACCAATCTGTACGGAGGATCTTCGATGTATCTCTTTCACGTATTTTTCTCACGCGTTTCGTTATCATCACACCACACGTCTACCGGCGATTCGCTGCCGTGGAAAAGAAGCAGTCGAGCATGCGAAGAAGAAACGCGTTACGATCGACGCGAGGCTCGAGACTGCACTGTTCTTCGTTCCTCTCTTCACGGTCCCTGTTACCTGTGTGTTCCCGTGGCGAACAGAGCAAGAGGGACCTCGCTAAGAGAGGGAGAAGCCGAACGGAGACGATGATACATGCATCCAGCTGGAATAACGAGGATAGAACGATCCTGTGTGCGTAGGAAAGAAGATGACGAAAGTGAATATATTTGGAGAAAAGCGGGGACAAAAACGAAAACGAGGGTTTCTTTCGAGACGAACATCGAAGGAGGATACTATGGAATAATATTTTGTTCGGTCAACGCAGGATAAATGTGTGGTACCTCGGGGAATGATGGAAAATGAATCTTGATAGAACAGAGAGAAGGAATTTGTAATGATCCTATGGAATATTTGAACGATCAACCGATAGAGTGCGACACTAAAGCATTTGTCTTTGTCTCTAGATCTTTTTTTAAAAATGCAATTTTCGAAATCGATGTACCTTGGAATTTATTTTATTTTAGTTACTTGATAAGTTGCATAGACTTCGGCAAATACCGCTTGAGTTAACGAGAAGAAATTGAAAAATTAATGGAACTTGGTCTATACGAGAAGTTCGCAAATATTTTCTAATAAAATTAATAAAAATACCTGATACATAAGCTATCTTCGTGTTTCTGTATTTCGAAAATATTTATTAATTTTGAAAAATATTCAGCACGATTGAAAATTTAGTTTTGAGCATCTCAAAGCCATTGCTGAAGATATTCGCGAAAAAGGGGTAGAAAGAATAAACCGAAAGAGGGAATACTATTTCGCGCGTGGAGAAGAAAAGGACAGATTGCGTTTACGTCATCGCCCGTGTTAGACGCTGAACTATGTCTCAGGGGATGCGAGATTTCTTTTCGTTTTTCAATGATTCAAGTAAAATTCCTGTTTTATGCACAGTACAAAATATACATATATTAAAACTAAATTCGGAAAATATAAGTCAAATTCAAATTGTAGTTTCGAATCTAGTTTATCGAAAAAATCAATTATCGACTTATTATCGACTCGATTATCGAATTATTTGATTCCATTAAAATTTCAGTAATCGAAAGTACGTATAAGTAAATTATATAAAATATTTTTCTTTTTCGAATTATAATTTATTTCTTCCAATATTTTGTTCTTTTTAGCATCGTTGAGACATCTGTGAAAAAACATTTTCACGCGGTACTACATAAGTTTTACGTATGATAAGTTACCGATTATGGACGTTTATCATTGCGTGTATACCATGTGTTTCATCCGCGGACTATGATTTCGTCTGAAAACATTTTATATAAATATGGCTCTTGTATATCGTGCAAATGTAAATTTTTGCTCTTTGTTTAATACATTTTCTTCTAAGAATGTATCGAGTGTCAAAAGGTTTACATCGCAATATAAACATAAAGTAGGCAATAACGATCATGGTAGGTTAAAAATTATCGTTCGTGTTATAACCTCGACTCTGATATTTTTGTATTTTGTTGCCATGATTTCTTCAGTTTCTTCATTTTGGCTTAAAATATATTTTTTAAGTTAATTTCCTTTTATACCTTTTTTACTTGCTATGTTTAATTACTGAAAAATCTGATCATGTTATGTTTTTACAGGTTATGTAATTTAGCGACAGTAATGTTTTATTCTTTTTATTTACGTAGTTTTAATGCATATTTCATATTGTTTATTGTTGACAAACATTAAAGAATGAAATATGTTTTACAGTTAAGGGCTCAATATACGGTGATGCATTTCATAGAATGATCACAGAGAGACAGAATCAGGCAATGAAAAGCATCATAATAAAGTTAAATTCGTTTGAAGCTATTGATGCTGCTCGTCAGTGTTGTGCATCTTATGGACAGGTTATAAAAGCGTTTCCTTATAATACAATAAATGATGAGGTAAATAAATCTTTTTATAAGTTTTAGTTTAAATCTAAAGCTTACGAAAGTAAATACGTAACTGTTATATAGGTTGAAATGTTGCTTGTTTCAGTGTTTCATGTTAATAGAATTTGACAATTATGCTTCTATATTGAAGCTTAAGAACAGTATGACTAGCGAAGTAAAAAGTTTTCAAACTATCGGTATGGTATCACCGATATATAGGTATTATGCAGACAAATCTGAGGAACAAAAATCATCAGCGACTATTACATACTACAAAACATTTACCATTCCGAAACGGACAGATATTGTGAAGAAATTAAAAGAAATTAAATCTGTAATATACTGGTATATTATTCAGATTAATTTTATGGTTAACAGTAATCAAATATGTTTTATTTTATAGATAGATGGGCAAATGGTGGCACTGTACCATTCATTGAAATTTTCAGAAGTAGATATTCGATTAAGATTTTTTACTGCCGCTGAACTTACGTATTATGTAAATAGATTATTTTGTAATATAAATGTTCTGCCATTTGGCTCCAGTGTAAATGGTTTCGGTCAGAGAGGTTGTGATCTGGATTTAGTATGCTCAGTTAGCGGTACTAAGAATGAGAGTGTAAATTTTCATACATTTGTATTATTAGTGTCATTATAAATTTTTATAGAAACTGGTTTAAGTGAATTTTCGTTTTAGGCACAGAAGTTACATTATTTGACGAACAACATATGCTTTGATAGCAAAGTAAAGCATCAACAATTCTTAGAAATGGTATATACAATATTGAACACATGTGTACCTACAATTTCCAATGCAAAGAGAATTCTTAATGCGCGTGTTCCTATACTTAAATTTAGTATTCCCAGTAGCAACATGCAGTGTGATCTTAGTGGCCCTAATGAGTATGCAAAGATCATTTTCTTACTAAAATACGATTATTGTACTTTGAGCTGTAATGTTACAATTCTATTCACAGAGTTGCACTTTACATGTCCAAGTTATTATATATTTTTTCGGAGATAGATTGTCGTGTGAAACCACTAGTCTGTACCATTCGTAAATGGGCAAAGAATCATCGAATAACGAGAGAAATTCCAGGTCAGTGGATTACGAACTTCTCTCTTACTCTTTTAATAATATTTTATTTGCAAAGAATAGAGATTTTGCCACCTATTGCTGTCTTGACTTCAGGTAGGTGTAAAGATAGAACAATCCTTTATCTGTTTTTGATGCTAAACTTTATATTTCTGTTTTTAGTGCAAAACAAATCTGGATGGAAAGTTTCGAGTTCTCTAAGCTTACAGAGTATATTACGTGGGTTCTTTCAATTTTACAGCAACTTCGATTTTAGTACACAGGCAATTTCTATTTGGGAGGGAAAAACAAAGATAAAACTAGATGTATCCCCTATTTATATTCAGAACCCTTTTAATGAATCATTAAATGTTGCTAAGAATATTAATGATATCCAATTAGAACGTCTTATACATCATTTCCGAGATGCCTTGAATCTGTTACATTACGAAGAATGCTCCATTTTGCATTTATTGAAATACGATTCAAATGAACAAAATAGTACCACCGACGATAATACTGTTCAACAAAATGAAACCGCAATAGAAGAAATTTTTGATTTAACTAATTCTATAGAAGAAAAAAAAGTAATAAAGTCATAAAACATACATTATTATTGTAGCTTAATTTATACAAACTGATTTTTGTACAATTCACCTGCCCTGAAAATATAGATAATTTTTTTCGTACAAAATTTATTTCTGTATAAATAAATGAACAACAAATACTAAAACTCGACTAAAATAAGATTGACTTGTACTTTCTTTGTGAACGACACATGTTCCGCGTATTTTAGATAAAAATAAGATAGGAATGAAAAAGAATCTTGATATCGTTTTATACAAGTGTACACAAAATGTTTATTGAAAGGTATAGAATAAATATTTGAGAATTGTCACAAACTGATTAACATAAAAATAACCATGACCGAGGAACGGAGAAAACTGGAAACATTCAGCAATAGTTGAACAATTTTCGTACTTCGTAAGTTATATATTTCTCTATTATTAATAATTCGACATTTCTCATACATGATTAATCGTGTACACTTGCTATAATTGTAACATTCTCATGATCAGTACGAAGATTATGATCATTTGATCGTTTAAAAACGAACAATAACGATCGTGTCAACTTCCACGAGGAACCTTCATCTCCTCGCATACAATTACGTGACATTCGATGAACACGTGTAATTGTAAAAAAAGAATCTTTCACAGTTGCGAACACCCCGTTGGAAGGATGTATTAAAAGTAAAACGATGGATTCCCGAACAACTGGAAGTTACGAGTATGTTTATAATTAGGCTATTTTTTTTTTGTTCCTCCCCTTCAAAAAAGAGTCATTTCATCATGTACAATAATTTCTTCATTGCGTAACGTTACGACTCGGTATACCATTGTATAAAGTACCTTTGAAGGTATTACATATAAACTCTAGTTGTAACGAATCAGTTAGAGATCATTTCGTTTTATGAAATTCCATCTAAACCGATTCTAAAATCGGGAAGAAGAAAACGCGCGATTTGAGCATCATGGGAAATTCTTTACCTTATTTTCTTTCTTTCGTTAATTAATTAATTAGTCCTAACTCTCTTTGTATTTACCCATACGTAGTGCGTTCGACGAAAAACGGATCGCACTCTTAATTGTTAGGAACGTGCGAGTACTCGAGATTACAGGATCGAGTCAGATCGGAAAAATGACGGCGAAATCGGATATTCCTACGTGGGAAGATACTTTCAAGCTTTTACCCGATTCTGCCCAATTTTTTCCGAAATTCGAATGGGCTACTACGCGCACATTCCTACTAATTGTCGAGCATTTCTTTGAAAATGCATCGATCACCGCTTTAGTGATCGCTTCAACAATAAAGAATATCAACGTATGTATTTCCCTTTTTTTTCGTTAATAATATATGTTGTATATATATCTATATATACACATATATATATTATATATTATTTCTCTATTGGCAGCGGCGATATTATGACAATCGGCGTTTCAAAGTGCAATCAAAACGCTGTTCAATAAAAAAATCGAAAATTGCTCTATATCGAAGGCTGACTGACCCTGAAACAACTCTGACCAGACATACATGGGACTAGAAATGACGAGGAATAACATGCGATACAAACGTTGGAAACGCTTGGTCCAGACTCAGACAAAGAAACTGGAAAATTTTGCGACTGTTCACAAAAGTAACGTTAAAAAAGTGCACTTGTCGAATAACAGTTGTCCCCGCCTGTAGACATCGGAAGAAATGCCCTTTTCTTAGTAATAATACCGCTACTAAAACGCTCAATGTATTCCGTTCGAAAATAAAATAAATAAAATAAAACGTATGTTCGTAGTACCTTTTCGCTGAACGGTATTTCTCTACGAATAACAATGCTCTAACGCTCGATAAAATACTTTCCCCGATGTATGCTAGACATTATTTGGAGGATTTTCGACTCCCTTCCAGATAGCCAAGAAACTATTCGCAATCTCTAATAAATACTTTTATTTGATTCTTTCTAGAACGCCTCGACGAAACATCTATTTTCTGCCGTCTTGACTATCTGACCTGGATACCTCTATAGAAAGCTCCTTGATTGAATTTCTTTCACCGTCGTCTCTTCGGAACTGGAACAACCTTAATTCGTCTTGCTTTTCCGATGATGACGATGATGATGCATATGGTGATGACGCAGATGAGACCTAGTTTCTTGCACGGCTGCAACCAACGTTTTCACCGTTTCCTCGTGACCCTCGAAGCTATCGGTTTTCTTCAATTGACTAAGGGACGAAGCGGCGCCCTCGCTGGCCGTTACGCTGCGTTTACTTTTCGGTCGCGGAAACGTTTCCCAGGAACGCTGCTTCTGCACCAGAGACGACGACTTCGGTGTAGGTCCGATCAAAAGAACCAATGTTTTCCTGGGATCCTGCGCGGATTGACCTACCGTCCCATCGACGATGCTGGACCGTCTGCTTCCCGAGCCAGTTGTACTCAGGCTGTCGCAGCTCGCTCTTCGACGCCTGCCCACCTCCGTCGACGCCTTCTCCTCCGCGTAGAACACGTCCTCCGAGTCGCTGGCCGGGTATACTTTGGTCCCCTTGCCACTCGACATCGGTTGCTCGTCAGGAACCGCGTGCACCTGAGCCTGGACACGCTTCTTCGCCTCCCCCATGCTCGACGCCTCGGATATTCGTTGATAATCCCCTTCCTCGCCTGCTCAAAACCATACACACCATTTTAAAAACTTATTTATATGTTCTAATTGGAGATACGCTCAAGACCAGCTACGAAACGGCGTTACGGAGTGGCTTTTCCCTGGAAAAGAAGTACGTAAAACATTGATTTCAACCGTAACTATGTAACTACATTTGATCGTTGTTTAACTTCGATGAAACTAGGTCACGTTTCTAATTGATTCCCAATGCTACTCGTGGAGAAGAGGGATCGAATGGCTTTTACAAAGGAGACAAATGGTGGATTATCTCGTCTATGTGTGAAGTGTTCCATTAATGAATTGAATACCAAAAGCGTGTAATTAATTAGTGACTGTGACTTTGATGGAGAACAATATTTTTTCGGCGCAATGTTTCCTGAATTGGGCGCGATGCGAAGTTAATAATTCTCGTGTGCATTCATCAGGATTTTATTTACATTAATATTTATATATATGTATTTATATGCTACCTACATAGTCTTCTGATTTTACGAGTATTCATCGCAATTGTGTTTCGTTCCAGGTGTGTACCATCGTTAGCTATCCAACGCTATTTACACGTGCATACGATCCTCGCGAATTTATTCTTACCAGTCGTGTGTGACTGTGGTTGCTGAGAATCTGTACATCTCTCCGGTTGGTCGAGTCCCTCGGCGGACGTGTCACCGCTACCACCTTTCAAAGAACGATACAAAGAGCGTACTTTGCTAACGGACGAATGACCAGGCGGTGTCTTGGGCTTCGTGCTATCCGGAGACTTCCTCGATCGACGACTCTGACTGCGATCACGACCCTCCTCTCGTCCAGGTGACTTTTTACGATCTTCCTTACTCCTAGTTTTCTCGATAAATTGACTGAGAACACCTCTTTTCTGTTCAGAGGCTTTGGCTGTCCCGTAGACGATGATGTTTCCGCTAGAGTCCAAGACAGCTCCAACGCCAGACGGTGTACGACAACGTGTTGGTATCTCTTTGTTCTCTGTTACATAAAGTTCACGCTTGATGTAATAATTCGCAAAGAATTAATAGACGAAAATTACCTTTCATGTAAAGCGCGTTATCAGCACTAGTGGCAGTGGCTCGCGAATGTCGGTGATCCTTGGTGGGAGCCTGAGTTTGCGGTTGCGGTGGTTCTTGCATCTGCAAGCGTGCCAAATGATCGAGTAAAGCTTGCAGATGTTGGTTGCTGGCTGCGTCGGAAGCTGTCATGCTGATTTCGCCAGCGTTCATGCCGGAAGAAAAGGATTTAACGAACGGTTCTAATTGTTGAGCAAGGTTCTGCAGCTGTTTCACTTGACTCCTCAATGACATGATGTCGTTCATCTAGGTAAGGATAAAAATTAGTCGTATTGTAATGAATATAAGTACATATTGTAAAAAGAAAGTACCTGTGAATGAAATATTTCTTTTTCCATATGAATTCTGCATAACTGTTCGTCCCATAATGCGTCGAACACGTTTCTGAGTCGTTCCAATTCCATCTGATGATCTTCTAACTGTTGCTCCAATACTCGGCAGTCTCTGGCTACATGCTCGTAACGTGTACCTAATGGAGGAGTGTTCGCCCTTCGCAGAAGAGCTACGTCCCGATGAAGCTCTCCCAGACGTTCCTTCACCGTCATTAACTGTTGATTCAATTCCTTTAGCTGTGTATCAAATGTTCGGCAGTGTTTGGAAAACGGTCCACCATCTGCTCCGGTTTTGGATGAAATCTTCTGAGACGACTTGCTACTCTGCTCGAAAAAGGGAATAAAAATTTCTAGCGTAATCGATGATCGCCCTTGTCAGATTTAATACATACGGAACTGAATAAACTGTCTGATACTGACTACCATATTCGGCTAATAAACTAACGAAAAACGAAAGTTTGTACAGTTCTGTTTCGTTTTGTCCAGAATATGCTACGAGAATGACTGTATCTAATTTGGCTACTAACTACCACCATTACGATTAAGTACAAGCCACATCATATATCGAGTAAAAAATCCTGTAAACAAAAATACTTACACAGAAGTGTGCGCGAGAAATGCAATGAAAAAGAAACTTGTAATATGAACGTAAAGATGGAATTGGTAATCGAGAGGTGGCCAGGCTATAATACTTGTAGATACCTGCATCACTGGTGGATCTTGTTGAACCATCGAATGGGTCTGATCGTACAGCGATTCTTTCGAACTCTGAGGCTGACCTATGTAAGGCTGCAACGCGCGAGAAAATTCGTTCTTGTAGTTCGGCTTGAGGTGGGCAGTTAATAAGGGTGGCCTCGAAGGATGCCCTAATTGAGCAACGCGATTCAATCGCTCCAACATCGGATGAGCTAACTCGAGAAATTGATACTTGGTTGCACCGCTGGTAAAGGCGGTGCACAACATCAAATGCGTCTGTAGTACAGGAAACGCAGAACCTAGAGAAAACAGTTGACTACAGACCATCCTTTCTTTCGTCTCGAATTGTCGCTGAAGCTCTGCCAATACGTTATTATGTGTTTTCGTTATGGCTTCCTGCATTCCCTGACAAAAGGAATTTACTGCCCTTTTCTCGGAGTCTAAACTGTGTCGTAATTCATCTAGCTGCGATTTCAGAGCCAACACCCCGTCCCGTACTCCAGCCTGCAGCTCGCAAATCGAATTGACCGCCCGTTCCATTTTTTTCGATGCCTGTTGCCAGGCACTTTCAATGTCGATGCAATGAATTCTCGCATCCGCGGGAGTGTCGCGAAAACACGTGGCGCAGAGCATACACTTGGCACTTTGGCTAAACATTATGTATTGTTCTCCGTGGGTCGGACAGCGACGTTGAGTATCCTTGGCGCATTTACTCATATGCAATACCTCATGAGCAGAAAACATCTTAGCACGATGAGTGTGCTCCCTGCAGTGCGTACACAGTGCTTGCCCTGAATTTCAAACAAGTTTTAGTTTTTCCAACATTGTTATAGTTTATCATTAAAACAAATTCTTGTTACTTACCACATGTTGTACAAAAGAACATAGTAGACTTGTCACGCTTATCACAATTGGCACAAGGTGGATTCTCAGAATTTGCCAATTCAACTAGCTGACGCATCAGGTGATCGGGAGGTGGTAGTTGTGCTCCATCTTTTAATTGTGTTTGTTGCCTACGTACATAAATTTATCTTCAATTTATAGAAATTAGACAAAGTTCAAATTATTAAAAGTTAAGCCAATGAAAAGAGATAGTTTGAATCTTGCAAAAGAGTAAGTCATAGAACATGAAAAGAAGAAGCGATGCAAAGAAAATAGTATTTGAAGGAATCACCGTACAATAGAGCAGATAGCTTTAATAAGATGCACGATAAGAATATAAGTAAATTCCTTAATGTAAGAAACTGCATAACTGTTTACGATGCACTTACTAGCAGAAAAGAAGTTAATATGGGTGAGGTTAAAAGTGCATATATTATTATGGTTTAAGGCAAAACAGCTGCACAAATTATATTATAAATATATAAACTTTATAACCATGTGTCAAACATTTGTAACAAAAATGATTAAATACTTAGTCCTTTGTTACACGAAATGAATAGAGGTAGAAAGTTATCACAGAGAAAGAGCGATCCAAAACTTAAAGCATTTTTTTATCATACTTGATAAAAAGTTGACGTAAACACTTGAACTAGTAGGGGATACAATTACATGCATAGAGTAGCCGAACCTAACCCAGACCTGGGATCATCACCCACCCTAAGGACGCCATGCAATAACAGTCGTTGTTATCTACCCGCAGATGGGACAGGAGACCTTTCCCTCAAGGTGAGGGCCACGGATGCAACGGGCACAAAAGGTGTGAAAGCAGGATAGCAGACAAGGCTCGTTGAAATAGTCATGGCAGACGCCGCAGATCAGAGGATTCCTAGGCCCACCACCGGTTACACCTGTCGTACCATCGTTTTCGCCGACACCGATGCCGTCAACTGTCGACCCCGTCGAGTTCGCCATCGCCGGCCAAACCAACGGCGGCCACCTGGAAACCACAACCCAGTACGTACTTCAACGACCGATTCCTCGTTACTTCGTCTCATTTTTTTTTAACATATTTCAGGTTTCACAGACACGTAACGCATTGCGTATGGAAAAGAATAGAAAACTGATCGAAAGAAATCGCAAAGAATGTTTACCCCAAGACCGTTGGCCCGCCCGCCGTAGAAAAGCCTGATAGGTAGTTTATCGGCTCGTCATTCTGACGTAGTATGGTGGGCAACCCCAGTTTGCGCCTGACGATCGGCTCTGACGTCACTGAGGTGCCACCAATCTCGCGCCCTCCACTCTCCACCAAGGATGCTACGTACACAGCGAAAAGAGGACGGGCTGCTGCTGCACGCGCTGCTATGTGGAGAAGGGTGCACCGGCCTGCACACAGGGTTGCGCTGACGTAAGTGTGCGTCCGTGGTAGTAAGCGTATACGTGCGCTCGCTGACGATGGGTATTTGACCCCCTTTCAGGAAAATTTTTGAACAATTTGCTCACGCAACGATATTCCAATCGATTTCAATTTAAATACGTTTAAAAAACTTTGGAGGGTCGAACGCGTCAATAATCCCAAGTCCCTTAAAGTTTCTTAAATTAGAATTTCTATTAGCGAACGGTATTGCATGATAACAAGTTATACTTTCTGTACAAGCTGGAAAATTATTCAATCATTTCCTGATCGACGTTTAATAATTTATGTAAACATTACTTCTAATACGTAGACCAATATTTTCCAACTTTGTAAAATTTATAAGTCTTATTTTCCAATTATTTAACATAATAGTTATAGAAAACAGAATAACAGTTTAATTCTACTGTACGTTTCAGGCGATTCGCAGTATTTTCGAATCTATCGCTAGCAGCTGGACGTGTATATACGTGGTGGTACTTGGAGCTAGATCTATGCGCCTGACAGAGAGAGCAGCACCTCGACGTCCTCATCCCCCGGAACTTTCATCGTCCCGTTTTCTGCACTCCTGCAGGGACCTACATACATATATATACAGTGAGAGAAAGAGAGAGGGTAAGGGCGAGAGAGAAAGAGAGAAACAGAGAGAGAAAGGTAGATGCATATATCTACATACATTCGATCTGTCGACGTGTACATGTGAGAGCAAGTGCTACTGGTACCGAGACGAACATTCGCTGTACAAGCCGTAAAAAAAGAGTACATGACGCATATAAAGCGCATAAAATAGAAAAAAAAATGAAGAGAAGAGAGGAATTATGCATATTTCTTTGTATCCAGCGGTTTCTCGTTTCCCTAGTTTTCATCCACTCGTTGCACGATATTGGTGAAACGTATATTATGAAATTTGCCCAAGTCCTTCTTTTCGCTTACGTAGTATGGTGGGCAACCCCAGTTTGCGCCTGACGATCGGCTCTGACGTCACTGAGGTGCCACCAATCTCGCGCCCTCCACTCTCCACCAAGGATGCTACGTACACAGCGAAAAGAGGACGGGCTGCTGCTGCACGCGCTGCTATGTGGAGAAGGGTGCACCGGCCTGCACACAGGGTTGCGCTGACGTAAGTGTGCGTCCGTGGTAGTAAGCGTATACGTGCGCTCGCTGACGATGGGTATTTGACCCCCTTTCAGGAAAATTTTTGAACAATTTGCTCACGCAACGATATTCCAATCGATTTCAATTTAAATACGTTTAAAAAACTTTGGAGGGTCGAACGCGTCAATAATCCCAAGTCCCTTAAAGTTTCTTAAATTAGAATTTCTATTAGCGAACGGTATTGCATGATAACAAGTTATACTTTCTGTACAAGCTGGAAAATTATTCAATCATTTCCTGATCGACGTTTAATAATTTATGTAAACATTACTTCTAATACGTAGACCAATATTTTCCAACTTTGTAAAATTTATAAGTCTTATTTTCCAATTATTTAACATAATAGTTATAGAAAACAGAATAACAGTTTAATTCTACTGTACGTTTCAGGCGATTCGCAGTATTTTCGAATCTATCGCTAGCAGCTGGACGTGTATATACGTGGTGGTACTTGGAGCTAGATCTATGCGCCTGACAGAGAGAGCAGCACCTCGACGTCCTCATCCCCCGGAACTTTCATCGTCCCGTTTTCTGCACTCCTGCAGGGACCTACATACATATATATACAGTGAGAGAAAGAGAGAGGGTAAGGGCGAGAGAGAAAGAGAGAAACAGAGAGAGAAAGGTAGATGCATATATCTACATACATTCGATCTGTCGACGTGTACATGTGAGAGCAAGTGCTACTGGTACCGAGACGAACATTCGCTGTACAAGCCGTAAAAAAAGAGTACATGACGCATATAAAGCGCATAAAATAGAAAAAAAAATGAAGAGAAGAGAGGAATTATGCATATTTCTTTGTATCCAGCGGTTTCTCGTTTCCCTAGTTTTCATCCACTCGTTGCACGATATTGGTGAAACGTATATTATGAAATTTGCCCAAGTCCTTCTTTTCGCTTCTCTCTCCGCTCCGTTTGCGACAAAAAGCTTCGCCCTTTTAACCTATAAAGAGTTTCTAGGGTGGTGGCTGTTTAAGCATGCTAACCACCAGACTACGTAGTTTCCTTTTGCCAATATTTCTTTTCTATTTCTCTATTCTCTGCTCCACACTTTGTAAGGCTTGATTTTATTTAATCATTTCGCTCTGATTCCAGGATTCACCTGTACCGGACAATGTCTGCAAGTGAAGCGGAAAAAATAGCTTCTATCGATCGTTTAAAAAATCTTCGAGACGGAGGATGCGACAAAATGTATACCTATCGGTACTGTAATCAGGAAAAATACACAGCCTCTCCTGCATGTTGGCAGAATATCCGTCGGTTGAGAGTAGATGGCTGACCCTCAAACGGGTCAGTGAATGCTAATTCCACGACCCACCCTTTCTCCCCTGGTAACCGCAGTGTACTTCCTTTGGGCAGTTTCGGAACAGCTCCAAAAATTCATTGCCGTAGAAATTATCAACGTAAATGAATGTTGTGCGATCGGGATACGTGTCAATACATCGTTAATGAGTCAATACTGTAATTTAATTAAAGATATTTGCCATTTGTACGTTCATAATTAAGATAGAAAAGTGTGACTACGTAAATACTAAAGTCTGTCAAGTTTTTGTCTTGATTACTTTAAAAATTAACTTGAAAATAACAAACAAGAATTGTTTAATTTATATCTGGTAAAACAAAGACAAGAACTTTTGTATATTACATTGTACACCGATATATTTATAATTATTGACCGATATATTTATAATTTTAGAATTTAGACTTTAGAATTGACACTAATTTGTAAAGCTAGAGTAACACACTAGCTCGGCGTATCTACCTAGATCTAAAACGTCGTTTAATATTTCAATCTGTGTAACGACGGGAAAATTAATGTACGCTCACGGCTTCCAATTAATTAAACGCGCCACCGTGTCATTACAAATATCGAAGCGCGCTCGCGTTTGCCTGTATCATTGTAAAACTCGTCGAGAGAGTTTCACGCGCTTTTAATTCAGCGCCGTTGCCATTCCAGACTGCTTCTCGTAGGCGTTTCGCGTATCCAGATCGAACGAATGAAATTTTACCGCGTCCCGAGATTAATATTCTTTTAATGCACCGACGACGATTGCCGAGAACACGTAGCAAGAACTTTAAAATGATATTCAGTCGGGGTTATTGCATTGACTGCGAAGCACAGCAGGGCAAGTCTCGATGGAGCTCTGGTCTTTGAAAAGTTAACCAGAATCATCCGTGGATCCTTTTCTCTCGTTGATCCTTCACGTTGCATTCTCGCAGTCGACGCAATGCCATGTGCACCGTTAATGATACACCCCTCGCCTTCCCTTTTTACTCGTCGCGCTTCATTCAAGAGGCAACCGCGTACACTTCTTTCAGTATTATTTAATACACATTGACGGTTTTCAAGTTGCGTTTAACTAGGTAGTGGACGCTATAGCTTTAAAATACTATTGAAATTTGAAGTTCGACATTGTTGTATACTTTATATGTGTAAAGAATAACTTATATATTACTCAATGAATCGTGGAATTTGTATTATGATAATGGAACGTAGACAACCGAAATCTCATTCATCAATTATTCAAAGATGTGTAATGAGAAGAGGAGATTTCCCCAAGCGATCAATAATGTGTTAATTACGCGGCGTTGCCTCTCTGATACGTTAGAAATAGAATACTTTTTTATCATGGTCAATGAGATCTGTAAAACAACATCATTTATATCCTCGACCTTCTTTATGTACAATGTTGCTCTATTAGTTTCTAAGGTATATTAAGGTTTATTAGTTAAATTAAGATTTAATTGTAAAGCGCAATTATGTGTATAGTCTACTTTGTAATTATAGCGAATGTAATAATAGTATCATTAGTTAATTGAACAATATAGCATGTAATCTAGTATAAGTTCATTAATATTATAAAAAGGAACCATCAGGATAAGTTTGAGTTATATTTAACTACTTATAAGCTTGTATACTTGATGTACATAAAAACAGTATTAAAATAAAGAAAAAGAGAAAAGAAAATACGAGTATTTATTTAAATATCCAAATAATTATCCTTCCTGAAAAAACCTTTCCTTGAATCCCTGAAATACATGCATAAATTGTCTGAGTCGGTGCAGAAGATTACTTTTGGTAGCAGAAAAACTATATTTCAAAGTAACGTAACCCAAAAGATAAGCATAGGAATTATCGTGGATACGGAAGTCTGAAAATTGCTCCTGGTAGCAGGATAGTAGAATGTGCAAGGAGGTGGCACGATTTTCTGCGCAGTAGAGATGCGCAATAGACTATGCAGTAGGTAGCGCGATAAATAATATCGAGTGGTGGGGGAAGGGTTTATGAAATTATGGTTCTGAAAATTACTCCTGGTAGCAGGATAGTAGAATGTGCAAGGAGGTGGCACGAATTTCTGCGCAGAAGAGATGCGCAGTAGCATGCGCGGCAGAGCTGCGCGGTAAACCAAGGACCAGTGGTGGGGGAAATGTTTATGCAATTATGGCTCCGAAAAATTACTCCTGGTAGCAGGATAGTAGAATGTGCAAGGAGGTGGCATGAATTTCTGCGCAGAAGAGATGCGCAGTAGGCTGCGCAGAAGAGCTGCGCAGTAGACACCCACTTACCCGCCAAATGTATAGCTAATATACATTAAAGAATAATTATTAATTTCACACTTACTGCAATTATAACTCGAACTTTTATAATTTACTATTAAAGAACAATGTCCACCGAACTTTCCAAGCCTATATTTGTACATATTTTCTTCGTATTTACATAGATATCAATAAATGTCTTCGTGATTACGTAGTTAACATTCGTGTTAAACAACCATTGAATTTTTATTAATTTTATCATGTTTGGCGATAATTTGTAACACTTTATAATTGCAACGCGAAGAGAAAGGTCTAAGCTACATTCTTTAATGGATTTTAGTAACATTTGGTTAGTCAATAATTAATAAATATTAATTCATTTAGTTGCAATATTGCCACGTGCGCGGCGCCGGATGTCGGACACGCGTGAATAGCGTACTTGCAATTTTCATTAATTTCTCAATTTTAAGGATCATTTTGTGAACTTTTATGATTGAATAACAAAGATCAAGGTCCAAACGAATTTCTAATACCAATTTGGTAAACATTTGTGCCGTAAATAATTTATAATTAATGATTCTTCCAGCACCGCTTTTCATTCCGCTACGCTGCATATTACGATAATTTGTTCAACAATTTTCATTAATTTTTCCAAAATTCGAGATATTCTATGCACTTTTATAATTTTAAAAGATAGTATAAGGTCCAAGCAATCTTCTCATACCAATTTTATGCACATTAATAATGTGCATAATTAATAATTAACAAACAAAGTTATTGTTAATGTTATCATTTTTCGTAGAATAATGTTACGAATTTCTATAGTACAATAGCGAATTCGTTTACTGAAATTGATCTCCTGGTAGCAGGATAACAGAATATCTGAAGAAGTATCCTAAAGACTTGGGATAATAAAGAAATTTTTATGAATTCATGATTCTGAAAATTACTCCTGGTAGCAGGATAGTAGAATGTGCTAGGAGGTGGCACGAATTTCTGCGCAGAAGAGATGCGCAGTAGACTGCGCGGTAGAGTTGCGCAATAGCTAAGGTCTAATCGTGGGGGTGGCATCTAAGAATTCATGGTTCCAAAATCTACTCCTGGTAGCAGGATAGTAGGATGTGCAAGGAGGTGGCACGAAAATCTGCGCGGCGGGAATGCGCAGTAGACTGCGCAGTAAAGTTGCGCAATAGCCTAAGATCTAATGGTGGGGGTAGCGTCTAAAAATTCATGGTTCCGAAATCGTCTCCTGGTAGCAGGATAACAGAATATGCAAAGAGGTGGCACAACTTTCTGCGCAATGGACATGCGCAGTATACTACATTTATGCATGAATGAACTATATAGAATTGTATGGACACCGTTCATGATTTGATCGCCTCAAGAACTGCTTCCGTTATCAGAATAGTAAAAAGTGCAAGGAGATATACGATCACGAGACTCAGGCTAATAGATAAGTTTTTATCTATTTTATTACTGTCTCGTGATTGTATTATGTGGGAGAAGGTTGACAATAAATAACACTTCATATACATTTAACTTTACTTTATTTTTTTCTTGCATTTGGTACAATATATCTTACAATAGCGCATTCGAGGTTTTTTAATATTCTGTACAATTCGTGTCAAAGGCACTTACTACGTATTTTTTTCATAAACAAATTTACCGTCGTAGTCAACAAATGCATAATAAGGTTGCAATGTAATTATATTCTATGTACAATATGAATTTTAAATTATGTATATTCCTTATATAGAGTTGTAGGCCGCTAGAGAGCGTTGTATTCTAAAGTTTACGAAAGTTGTTGTCAAATGAGAGGTTCTGAAGGTTGAGAATATTTTAAACAATTGTATGAATGTGTTAGCATAATAAGAACCAAGTGGTTTTATTTGAAAATAATTATGCCGTCTCGGGCCGAAGATATATTAAAAGGTTTTCAAGTGTATCCTTTTCTGAATGATTAAAATACCTGTTGCGGGAATTCTAGGTTAAACGATACAATGAGTTTAGATGTATTTATTTGGTATTTATATCTTACATATAATCGTTTTCCTTAACTGTCGTTTATTATAGAAATTGGATGATTGTAAGGGATGCTGATAAAGGTAAAATATTGTGGCAGGCTAATGAAGATTTGTAAGTATATTGTAACCTATAAGTATTTTGATGTAACAAATGTTTTTAAATGCAACATGTATTAAAATAGTAACACTTATCATTAATAGATTTGTACCTGACGTAGAACATGAAGTAAGAGTACCAAAAAAGATTTTAAAATGTCGTGCTGTGTCGCGAGAAATTAATTTTAGCTCTGCAGAACCAATGGAAAGGTTTAGATTGGAACAGAAAGTGTTATTCAAAGGCCGTTGTTTAGAAGAATGGTTCTTCGAATTTGGTTTTGTTATACGTAATAGTACTAATAGTTGGCAGAGTTTAATCGAAGCTGCACCTGAAAGTCAAATGATGCCTGCCAATGTTTTAAAGTAAGCATATAATTTAATCAAGAGTTTACATTTTATATACTTTGATGTGTAATTTATTCTTTTCTTTATGCAACCAGTGGCAACGTCGTAATAGAAACAAAATTTTTCGATGATGACCTATTAGTCTCCACCAGCAGAGTTCGTCTTTTCTATGTCTAAGAAGTTTGTTCCAACTTCATGATATTACAGTGTTGATCCAACTTGCACATATGGGACGGAATACCAGAAATGATAATAATCATATTAAACAATTTATTTTATGCACCTTCTGTGATATGCACTGTGCTGAATGTATTTTCTCACATTTTCTTAACTGGAATAAGTACCACTAGTTTAATTTTTTATAAGCCTAATGGAATCACCATGAAAATGCTTGAACATGAAATATATACTTTCCAAGCACAATGCATTTTTATTTATTAAATAGATTTAGTAGATTTTGTAAATATATATATATATACACATATATATATTGTGATACACTACATTTGTCTAATAAAGAAATATGGATGAAAATTTGCCTTTTCTTTTTTCTTTTCATATGTTTTAGTTTATAACTGATAATGTATCTTAAAATACGTAATAAAATAAGCAATCTGCAGTAATTAAAGAATTAAATTGAGATAAAAAAATTGGTTGTTGTGATATAAATATACAATTATTTTTTTTTAATTTTCCATAAATTCTTAGAGCCGTATAAAGAAAAGCTACATATAACTTTTTTTCGAGTGTACACCTATGCTATTGATTCGTGGTGTATAAGCAATACATTTTTGAGGCTTCACTACCCCTCTTGAGGGAGTTCACGTTGAATATACTCTATCCCCTACCCTATCTACATTGCACAGGTGTAAGGAAAAAAAGGAGGAAAAGAGAAAAGAAATAGCAGAGTTGCGGAGTCGCGGTGGTACCCACACGAACTTCTCAACCTGGTAGTGATTCAATTACCATTAGCCTATCCTTCACCAGTCTACCACTTGCTTGGGCTACTCGATATTTAATTAATTAAACAACGGAAGCCAAATATTACAATGGATTTAAAAGAAGAAGACGAAAGTGCGAACGAAAGTGGCAGACAATTGTTTTTAGTGGGTGCACCGCGTGATCCTCTAGTATCTACTGGAGCGATCGTAGCTTCTGCTGGGGCACACGACGAGATCAACCCCGGAGGAGATCTACAGTCGACTGCTCTAGCTGGTCTGATAGGCGCTCAATCTTCCTCGGTTTGCTTTCCTACAAAATTCTGTAAGTGCACCCTGCCACCCCAGACCTGATTTAATTAACTGCCACTCTCTACCTGTCGGCTCCGTAAGTTGGGGCAGTCCTCAATTAAATTATTGCTAAATGCATTAAGTGAATCGGCAACCCTTGTTTTAAATAGAGTTAGTAGTAATCAGTTTAACCGTTATGAACCATTTTACGCCACGTAAATTCAGCGTGATTAAGTGCGAGGAGCAATGCTTGAATCGTGAATGAATCCCTCAACTTGCAATGATACTCTCTACGAACGTGTCTCAATTCGTAGTAAAATGATTCAGTTACCTTGTAAAGATCATACAACTTGGTAATATTGTCAATGATGCGTTACAGCATACGATTTTTCGCCGAGCCCGGGAAGCGAAGACAGGCAATCGTCTGGAGTTGGTAAAAGGAAGCAACGTAGGTACCGTACTACGTTTACGAATTTTCAATTGGAAGAACTGGAAAGAGCTTTTCAGAAGACACACTACCCTGACGTATTTTTTAGAGAAGAGCTTGCTCTACGTATTCAACTGACAGAAGCCAGGGTACAGGTAGTAGCCAGTCTCTGTTATTCAAGAAAATACAATCAATAAAATTGACATCTATTTTAATAACTATTGGTATGTAGGTATGGTTTCAAAACAGAAGAGCAAAGTGGCGGAAGCAAGAAAAACAGTGTAAAGTTACCACTCACTTGACTTCTCATTTACCACCTTCTGAATGTCAAGAAGTACAACAACAACAGCAGCAACAACAATCGGATCATTTATTATTGGAACCACCATTGGGTAGCCCTCCACCGATATATCTTGGCATGGAATGGGCAGGATTTTCACCATACAGTAATACAGCCACGGCATCACCTCTCGTGGTTAACAGTATGAACAAGCCATTAGAATCTGAAGCGGACGACAATCCTTTGCTAGATCCAGAACTGTTGCAACTAAAAGCTCCACGTTCCTAATAACAATAATCTAAGCCCATGCTGTAGTGTCTTATCAGTAACATATCTTACTACGTTATATAATATTTTTTAAAGGCAAAGTGTATAGTGCAAACGATTCTTTGCAATATCACTTGAATCTTACCATATATCGTGCAATATATATCCGTAAACAGTGTTATATGTTATTACCGGTTTAAACTGGTATATATTGTAACTAAAAAGCGAGGGACCAAAGACTTATTAAATAACGTGGCAAAAATTAGAAGTCAAAAGTATTTGGAATATTGTTATATAGATTTTGTAAAAATATATAGATTTATTCTTCTTATGGATTCAGTGAATCTTAAAATGAATAGTATAATTGTATATTACAATCAAAGAAAAAATGTAACTTTTTATCCTTGGGACACCAATGAAACTGTACCAGCATAAAATAGTAACATCATCTTTATTCCGTGCGCATATATTACAAATATTTGATTCAACTAAGTTATTAATTTGTTGATTTAGGAGCAAGTAAGCAGTTCAGGCTACTTTCCCTGATCTTTCAAACAATTCGGTTTAGAGAATACCATTAATGAGAATATCGTTTTCGTCTATCAGATCAAATATATTAGATCAAAAAAAGATCCTTAATATTCAATGTTTTATTTCAACATTAGAAAATGTTTTTTTTTTATTATTATGAATGATCAAAGAGTACCCTGAACGAAATAAATTAATGATGGTGACAGATGATACAATAAAATCATGCGACGTACGAATACTCATCTGCGTTATTTGGCGTACGTTCGATATACTGCTTATCTATAAGGGCTTCGATACATTTTTTGATCATACCGATTGATGGTGCAAATGTAACCTTAGATTGACTTAGTACCTGGAACGATAATATGTTCGTCGATTAGTTCCATCATTTAGTTAGATTGTCACAAATTATGTCGAAATAAAATCTCACCTCTTGTACGAGTTGATTGTGTCTCAAAACCCTACGACTCTTCATAATACGAACTATAGCTGCTTGCAGGTACAATTTTCTGTCGTCGTCGACACTGCGATGCGTAGCTTCGGTATCGTGACTTTCGTGTGGTACATCTCGTTGCAATGTACCAGTTATTCGAAACTTCGTTCTTTTGTTATAGTAATCAAAATTAAGAGACAAAGTTGTATCTTCCTCCAATTCTCCTTCCGTTGATTTCTTCAGAATTTTACAGTCAACTAAACTAGTAGCATGTTTAACTAGCTGATCGTGCGACAAACGTAATGATGCGGCAGCTTCTTTGCATTGTATCGAATCGCAGTGCTCGAAAAGAAGAAGCAGGGCCATTTGGTATGTCTGTACAGTGACCAAGTAAGGTTTCTTTAAATAGTTAAATTTGAGTTCACCTTGACAAAGATAATGTAACCACGTGAGTTTCCGTCCGCTAAACTGCGCGCGATAAAAAGATTCAAACGCTTGTATAGATTTCTCTAATTGCTGAGGGATATCAAATGGTCCTGGAGATGGAGGTAAACCTAATGGCCAAGCACCTGCTTGTAACACGTATACTACAAAACCGATGCCTAACTGATTTTCTCTATCTCCTTCTCGTAAACTGGTAGTAAATTTGGCATTTAAGTCCGCCGAAACTGACATGTCCGTAAACATTCGGTGAAGTTTGTTCGTAAACTCGTAGCCACACACTTGTTTTAATCGATCGATCATGGATTCCTCGGCATCCATTGACTGTGACTGCTGATGTATCAATCGCTTTGCTAACATTCGTGCGTAAAACTTTTGGAAAACATCTTTATCGTCAAGATATTTGAACACGGTAATACAATGTCCTAGCTTTTCTTCTATTTCCCCTTCCGAGGTGGCTTTAGCAGATTTTTTTAAGAAAGAATCGCAGTATTTAGCAAGCTAAAATAAAAAAATTACATAACAACTAAAATTAGATAAGAACTTTAAAAGAAATAGTGTAACACGAGGTACTTGAAGATACTTACTAGCTCTGGCGCTCTGGCAGGTTGTCGGGGAACAGGCCTATGGTTTATGACGGCTGAACAAGCTTTGTCGAGGGCACTTATGAAAGCTTGATCAGCTCTGAACACCTCTTTAATCAATTCCGAGTATTTGTGATGCACGTCCAGCATGCTTTCCACAAATTGTATGTGTAGCTGGATTATGAAATCACTTAGTAATAAAATATTTTCACAAATAGAAAACTTATATTTGTTACTGCAATTTTTCTTACATTCTCTCCTTGTAAAGAACCGATTGCCTGTAATCCTTGCTGAGTAATGTATTGAGTAAGTTTTTGTAATAGCGGTGTTAAACCTGAAGGTATTGGCCTTAACAATGGATAAAGAAGACTTAAATCCGTTCTACGTTCATTTTCTATCATACTTTCTGCTTCCGCGTGAAGCCAAGCTATATGTGCGGCTATCATCTTCTCCTGACAACATTGCCTTACCTATAAAATATTATTGTCGAATATTCAACTATTTTACATTAATATATAAGATGATATATAAAAAGCAAAGCATACTTTCGGCATAGAACTTGCGTGTAAAAACTTATGAGCACGGAGCTCTTCTTGAATGAGTCTCCACGTAACTCTTTCCATATAATGAGTTACATCTGACTGTTGAAGCAACTCTGATGCCTCTCTCCTATAAAATTCTCCACAAGCTTTGAGGTAAGGTGTTTCAAAGATTTCTTGATACAGCTAAAACAACATATACTGTATAAAATAGTTTTGTAACAAATGTAAACCTTAAATAAAGCAATAATGTAACAACAGTTATTACATCTACTTGTCCCTTCATCTTATATTCCTCAACTCGAACAAAACTTTGTATAACTCCACAAATAACTTCTGTACTGGCTGAAGGAGCTGTACCAATTCTATCTGCGTGAATATTTTCCAGCAGCAGAGAGACCAATTGCTTTCTTAATGGTGTAATCATTCGTTTCTTCCAAATATCTAAACCAAGTTCTCCTATTTCCATTTGTTCTTGGCAATCAGCAGTCATAGCGGAAGACGTGCCATAAATAAGTTCTGCCTCAGAAACCTTCTGCTTCTTAATGTGTTGTTGATTTAAATATAAGTACAAGCGATCCACATAATTGATGCCCTGTGAATAATTTGTCCAGGCTTGATAATATGCCTGCAGTAAACCAGATTCGCCTTGGGCACGAACTTTTGTTACCAATTGGAAGACATGATTTTCTAGAAACCTTTTTGTCTCGTTATACAACTGATCGGCAAATGGTTCTGGATATGCCACGCATAATGAATATACATCACTGAAATAAAACAATCATTATGCTCAATTGAAATTTATGTCATCTTTTATAATTTAAATAACTAAAATACCTAAATCTATCATTCCATGTTGCACGTGGAACATATGACAACGTTATTACGCTCTCTACAGTCTCTCGCAATGCATTCCATGTTTTAATAAAATCAACTGGCTTAGACTTTAGTGACATCCTTATGTACATTCCACAAAATACTACCGACTTGCAATATCAGAGAATTAAACATACAAATTCTATAATGTAATTATTTAACTTGTAAACCTATAAACAATGATGTTTTAAATTAAAATCCCTTTAGAGCAATAGGCTAAAGTGAAAAAGTACTTAAACGGTTGTTAAAGGCATATTAAAAATTAAAAGATTTAATTATGTTAAAGCCAAGCACCTAAAATATATTCCAAGAATAATCTTTGAACTATAGACAAAGATGGAGATTACAAGGCTTTGACCAAGTGTTTTGTACATCAGTGGTTTAAAAATAACATAAAAGTAAAATACATCGCGGGCGTATTTTCATTTCATGGCCGTTCCAAATTTCTTTTTTATTTAAACGTAACCTATACGGGCATCAAATTATGTCTTGGAATACTTTTCTAGCGCAAATAGATCGAAGTGATCAGCATTTGAAATAGCGCTTATACGTTTAAATTAAAAGATATAAACCGTTCGTATATCATCGTCAAACGTGAACCAGGAATGATCATTTTTCATTTAAACTGCGGTTTATGAATTATGGTTAGATATAAATGGGATTTCTCAATGATCATTGAACGAATTACAAACTGCACGTGTAAACGCGTGTTACGAGTTACAGCTGACTGGTTACCATCCAGATGGTCATGATCGTAACCACTAACCAAAAACTCGTAGAAAGAGTAGTCTGTATTCTTACGGATACGATTGCAAACTGATCTTAATTCCTAGCAATATCAATTCTTTAAAATCACTTCTTTTCAGTATTTCGTAAATCATTCCCTGTTGCAAAATACATGACATTTACAATGACTCGTCTTGATCGAACACATTTTCCTTCTCTTTCTCTCTCACTCTTTCACCCCTTCGTTTCTTTACTTTCTTTCGTTTTCACTTCACGTGCCACTTTTATAAATTGTTTATTTCAAAAGAAAGTCAAGTCTACAAAAAATATAAACTTTCTTCTCTAAAATAGTCAAAGAATTAAATGCGAAACACCAAACTGCTTTGAATTTCTCAATAACATTGCAGAGCCATGTTTTTTCCCCTTTGCTCTTGACTTTCCAACTTCTTGGAGGGGATAATAGAATATGGACTATCTAGAGAACCTACTCTTCGTAAAAAAATACACGATACTGTACTTTTACATAAATTTAAACCATTGGATAATACAGATTTCCTTTTTATCATATTAAAAATATTTTAATATATATACTAGCTATCATTAGTAAACATAAGAATTTAAATAATATTAAATTTTCTATGTATTTTCCAAAGTTTACATTAGCAATAATATCAACAATAAATACAAAGAATTTTAAATAAAAAAGAACTTTAATATATAAATATGTTCTAACGTGAACTATACCATGAAACACAGAAGAGAACTATATACACATTTCATGTTTCATGACATGCAACTTGTGTTCGTTTGTGTTCTGCATTCGTACTTTCGTGGTAAATTTGATCACTCATAAATTTCAATTTAAAAAATGGTAATTTCTTACATATTAACTAATAGTCTTTTAGGGGATATTTATAATGTTTTAAGATTGTAATTATTATCCAGTTTTGATTAACAAATAAATTTTTAAATAACGTAAAACCTAGAAAAGGTTATGTTACTGTCAAATACATTGATGACACTGCACGTTTCATCAATTAATAAATGGTTGTTTCAATTGTCTTATTGGATAAATAGGTTTTACTGATTACGAATAATGGATATAAACAATATTGATTTGTTGATATTCAAAAATTGTTTTTGTGATATAAATATCAATTATTATATTTTCAGGGTATCCTAGATTACAATGGAGGAGCTATCATAGCAATGAGAGGGAAAAATTGTGTGGCAATAGCTGCTGACCGTAGATTTGGAATACAAGCACAGACTATAACATGCGATTTTCAAAAAATCTTTGAAATGGGTCCACACTTGTATATGAGTTTACCTGGTCTTGCAACTGATACTCAAACAGTAATGGAAAGATTAAGATTTCGACTAAATCTGTATGAACTAAAAGAAAATAGAAAGATCCATCCTAAAACATTTGCATCCATGGTATCAAACTTATTATATGAGAGGAGATTTGGACCATATTTTGTACAACCTATTATTGCTGGTTTAAGTCCTGTGACTTTTGAACCATATATTTGTAACATGGATGTGATAGGTTGCATAAATCCATCCGATGATTTTGTAGTTGGTGGAACTTGCAGTGAGCAACTTTATGGAATGTGTGAATCTGTTTTTGAACCAGATTTGGAAGCAGATGATCTCTTTGAGACTATTAGTCAAGCTTTAGTAAATGCATGCGATAGAGATGCAATGTCTGGTTGGGGTGCTGTTGTATACATAATGTAAGTTGTTTTGTATTTAATTATTATCCTTCTTCTTTATTATAATATTTTGTAATTATTAAATTTTAATTTCAGAGAAAAAGACAAAGTTACAACAAGGAGTATCAAAACACGAATGGATTAAAATATCTCTAAAACTTACATTAATATTATGCATACATTTATAATGTGTAATCTCTTATTGAGATGTCCATTTTGTTTAAATAAATCAATAAACGAGATATACAGTCTTGTAAACTTTGTTTCATTTAACCATTCTTCTATTAGTTTGTTATTTTTCTTTCGGTATTATATACAATGCTATATAACCACAGACAGGGTATTGACCACAGTTGTCTTATGTAGAAGTCTACAGTGGTTATATAGGTTATGAATCGGTATCCGTGTTTTAGTACATTGAGCTTTGAATTATGTTATAATATTGTATTAAAACATATATAAAGAGAAATTGTTATAATGGCTATTAATAGATTATGTACAACATTTCGACAAATAATTATAAACAAACAAAGTATGTATAATATATCCTATTTAAGATAATCGTGTTAAAAATATAACCTATTGACTTTTATAATTTTGTTTTTTAAAGTTTAATTTATAAAAATATTAATATACTGTTATTCCAGGTAATATCATTGCAAGGTATTATTCTCCTTCTGCCGCAAAAATACAAAATAATGTTTTCTCTCCATATTTTCTTAAAAATGAAACACATGCAGCATATCCTGAAATGCATGTTAAATTTATGCCAAATACACTTAATATAGATTTCGGAAATCCAGATAATCCTCTAAAAAAAAATATAAACGAATTACCACTATCTAAAATTATATCATCGATACAAGAACCTGTAATACAACAGTCTATACGAGATAAACTACCTTTTGTGGATAAATCTTATAATCTTCCTACTATGGAAAATGTTACAGAAAAATTAGCAATACGTTTAATAGTAATCAGAAGAAAAAAAATGAAAAAACACAAGAGGAAGAAGCTACGTAGGAAAATGAAAGTTGTATGGGAAAAAATAAGAACCAGGCGTAATGTAGCAAAAGCAAAAGCTCTCCACGCAGAATTACTTAAAAAAATTAAAAAAGCAGAAGCATTTGATGCAAGAGAATATATTAACAAAAAAATTGCATTTATAAAAAAGGAAAGGATACCACAAACGTACAGGGGTGAAATATTACCAAAAGCTATGATAAAGGAATTTTTAGCAGCAGACAGAGAAAGGAAGGAACGTAGACGTAATAAACCTCGCTTAACTCTTGATTAAACATATGTACTATATAAGCATTTCAATATCTTTCACTATGTAGATTGAAATTTGTAAAATATTATGTACAAATAAAATAATTTGAAATTTGATAAATTGTACATGTTTTGAAGAAAATGATAGTAATAATGTATAGGAAGAATATAATATTAGATTGCACATTAAATATATTAAAAATGTTTAATTTATATTTATAAAACATAGTTTGCATTGATGAAATTCATATAAATTGTCAGACCATGTTTTTACAAACATTACTAATATAGCACTTAATTACATTATCTTTTAATTATTTATATATATACAAGTATTATAATACTATGGTAACAATAAATAGCACCTTTGGTTCCTTGTACGTGGATTGAAAAATTTTCAAGGCACAATTATTCTGTGTGTATTTGTAAAAAAAAAGTTAAACATTTTTATGAGTATATTTGATACTTCTTAACGTTTTGTACTTTTATAAAAGAATGTTATTGCCCTATTTGGGAGATGCACGACGTGAATTATAAGTCAATAAATACGTATCACTGTGAATTAAAAAGATACTATACAAAAATGTAAAACAGAACAATAAAATATACATATACATAGTGAAGTCTTAATATAATTTAATTAGTTTTAAAAGTCTTCCAATTGTATAGCCAATTTTATTCGTCCAGTTATAAAATGAACTTGGAACGCCATTTCCAACCTAAATACTATTCTTCAACAAAAATACATGAACTTGTTATGGTCAGTGATAACAATATACGGTAATTTAATCTTTATTTCTGTTCAATGGAAGACTGGTTCAGCGATTCGCTAGTACCTAAACACCCTGTTTTACGAGGGTAATATCTGACCTTTTTTTACCTCTAACACTTTTGGTTTATTACTACGTATACTACCAGTTCTCAAATTGTTATTTCTACCAGAGAAGTAGTCCTCTATTTCTTGTAGCGTTTTACCTTTAGTTTCAGGAAGGCACAAGTAGAAATATATTGTACCAAATAACGATATACAGCCGTAAAGAATGAAAGTACCATGCCGAGTAAGTGCACTAGCCAAAAATGGATACGTTTTAACTACTATGAAGATAAACGAGTGGGCTGCCATCGTAGTTAAACCACCTATAATACCGCGTACTTGTACCGGGTATACCTCGCCTATCATTATCCAAGGAATAACAAGGAAACCAAGTGTGCAAGTTATGGTGTATGCAAATATACATAAAACAGGAAACCAAGTAGCAACGAGTGGAAGATTGTACGTAGTCCAATAATCCTTCAACCACAAGTACCCGCCTAATCCTATCATAGAAAGTCCACAACCAACGGAAGAGACCATCGTGAGAGGTCTTCTTCCGCACCTTCTACATAAAACGCACGCAGCGATGGTGGAGGACAATCTCACTACTCCCAAAATTACCGCTGCCAAGTATTTGTTTAACGCTGAACCTGAATCTTTGAAAATTTCAACCGCGTAAAAAGTTATAACGTTTGTACCTGACCACTGGTATATCAAAAAATATAAAAATAACAACGTGAACGGCTTAAGAGCGTTCGGTTTTAAAAGGGCGCTTACGATTTCCCGAAATCCTGTCAGCCGCTTAATATTATTCTTATTGGAAAAATTGATAAGCGTTTCCATTTCCTGATCAATATTACATGTACTACCGCGAAATTGTCGCAGCGCCTTTCGCGCTTTTTCGGGCCTACTACGCGATATCAGATAGGACGGTGTTTCAGGAAACAGAAACATTAACAACAAAGCGGCGAGTGGTAAAATTCCACTAATGGCTGCACAGACGTTCCACGTAAGTACACTTCCTAACGCGTATTCGATCAAGACACCGGTACTAACTCCTATACTCGCAAACGCGGTTAACATTCCCCTCAAATGAGGTTGAGTTACTTCTCCAGTATAGACCCGCGCTGGAGCGCCTACCATGCCTGATCCGAGTCCTACAAAGAATCTTCCAGCGTAGATCATTTCGATGTTGGTTGCGAACGCGATTAATACCCAGCCAAGTAATGCAGGTATCTCCGTAATGATGAGAGATCGTTTTCTTCCGAGTACGTCCATCATATATCCAGACACTAAACATCCGATGGGTGTACCGATAGAAGACATGCTGGCTGCGGAAGAAATATTTGTTATTATCATAAATACGTTAAATTTTAGAATTCAATTAAGACATTTTTTACCGATCCATGATTCCTCTGAAGATCCTTCTTGAATTGGAATGGTACTGTTTGGTTCTTGAAGCTGTGGGAGAGCAATAGCAGAGAAACCAAAGGTCATGCCTGTATTAATAGTTCCAAGCTGTGCTACTAGTGCTGCAAGGACTTGTCTGACCACGCTTCCATTAATATTTCTACCATTTTCTGGATCACTGTGCACGCTGTTTGATGCCAATGCAGATTTCTCATCTTCTAATTCGGTGGACGGCTGAATCTTTGGAAGTATTGTTGGATCCACCAACGATGACTTGTCTGAGTTTTGAATATCCCCATCTTTGCTGTAAAAAACAGTTAATCATATCAATACACAATTCTTAAAATTTATGTTCCAATCATAAATATGTATATTAACGATAAAAGTTTTAGTTTGTTTCGATTAACATAGTTGATAAATAACTCAATACATATATGTACATCGTTTTACATCCTGTGCTTATCTACTGTGAGATATTTTTATACGGGATAGATAAAGAACCAATCTAAGGCTGTATGTCAATATTTACTGCAAAACATAATGCGTTAGAAAAATTTTTAGATTATAAATAACGAGCTTAACGATCAGTCTTTCATATCGATAATCTTTTCAATCCAGCGTACGCAAACGGAGCGTGCCAGATAACTCGAAATTTTGGCACTGATTTAACGCCACCAAAATAAAATTTGACCTAAATTTGAACCGGTACTCGCAACAAATTCATAATATTTTTTGCTTCTGCCGCGTATTTTTGCATTTAACGATTTCTAATTATTTTGCACGTTGAAAGATAAAGTTTTGCACGTATATTTCGTTACGTGTACGCATGCACGTATGCTTACTTATCTATGTACATATTATACATATATTTCAGATACTCGAAGTAATTGACGCTATAAACAAATATTTCATCGGTATTTTTCGCCACGATTTCATATTAATTTAAATGGCAATTCCCTGGTGAACAAGCGTGTTGCGTTTCAAGCTGTTCTGTCGGTTTCAAATGCGTAACTTTCTCTATACTGCGCAGTTACCGCGCACATATTTTCGAGCATAAACAAAATTTTGATTCAAACAGACCGTAGCTTCCATGAACGGTATAAACAGAAATTTATTTTAAGATATTAGGGAATAAGGTATAAACATGATGATATAACTGTTATAAGACGATAAATATCTTTCGAGAGAGATTACTTTCATATGCAAATCTCTCGTTAGGAAAATAACCAAATGCAACGATTGCAACCATACGCACATGTGATTTATCTTTATGATAATTGAGCAAGCGATACCGAACATATTAATCGCCGATTTGTAAGCCGATTCGAATCGCTAAGACATCGTATAGACACGACAACAAAACAAGCTTAACACAGGTTTAAATCTGTCTGTTCGCAAGAATGTCAAGTACAGCTACTTTGACAAATAAAAACGCTATGTTTCAACAAAAACATTGGAAACTGGAAACATTCTGTTTTTTGTCGAGGTGTTTCTCTTCGGACACGTTCAGGCAATGAAGATTCATGAATTTTGGCACGTATCGACCGAATTATTTTTGTCCATGCGTTACATGAAAGGGTTCAAGTGTACAGTACATGCTCCCCCGAACAATCGTCCCTGATCACAGTGTATTAATAGTATCAATTACATCACGCTTGTTTGACAATGGAAAACATAAACGTTGTCACACGAAAACGCAGCTGAGAATTAATTGTCGATACGCGATGGAAACTAAACAGCGAACTGTTGCTCGAATATTTATTCTTGCACAAAGAGAAATATCCTGCACGTTGCGATAACTAATTATACTTGATAATGTGGAACGAAATGAGGAGTCGACTGATGTTTCTGATACGAAGAATCTCTTGTAAGATCTATCGTCGGTCTCTACTAATTTTCGAATAGATAAGCGTGTTTCTAACGAAATACTAACAAGTAAACCTACCCAAGTGTCACTCTCCGATTTTGATGAAATTTGGATATGTTATAGTACATTGAAAATTAGGGGACACGTATTTTTTTTTATCTGCGGTAAAACATATTTAGGGTATGAAACAACCCCCCAAAGTGTGAGGGTAAAATGGAAAAATTGTGATATTTTCGAGATCAGTGAAGCAATCTTGATGATTTTTGGTATGAAAGTATCTTTCGATAGAAGACAAAAATTGGCCTAGGTATGTTAGAAGGGGAGTGAAAATTAGGGGGTGAAATACCCTAAAGCGACCAATTTTTTGCTGCAAAAAAATCAGTTTTGATCTGATCGAAATAAAATCTATTAAAACTTGAAGAGGAAAGTTAATTAGGGAACACGTATTTTTTTTCTTTTTTATTACATAAATATTTGGGACGTAAATAACTCCTAAATTACCGCGCTCGTTTGGCACTACGCATGAAACGCCTTGCAAAACTGTATCTCCTAACTGTTCGATCTTTTTAATATATCGGTTTTTTACGTTACTGAATGGAAATCTGAAATCAAAATTCAATATAACGGATCCATTATGGCGGAC